GTCTTTAGCTGGAGTCTCAACACATCCCTCTCAGTCCACTTGGTCRTTTGGGCACTTTTCCCATGGGAACATCAGCGTTGCACTCAGTGAACCAGCTCTGCCCGTGCAGCTTTGTGCTGTGTGTGCATCTGCTCTGGGCTCTGAACAGCTCCCAGGAATTACCAGGGACACCTTCTCACCTCACCCCAGCTCCAGAAGGGTGAGCCCCAGCTGCTGGGCTGCCAGGAAAATGTTTTTGTTCCTTGAAAGTGCAGATCTGTGCCTGCTTTCCCTTCCACAGGCTGGGAGGCAGCACCTGTAGCACACCACGCTGAGACCGAGGTCATGAGCTGTGAACATTTGGAAGTTCTCTCATAAGAAAAAATAGAATAAATAACACCTTTTCATGAAAAAGTAAAAGAGAAGCTCTTCTGAAAGCCTCCCTTGGTACTGCCAGCAGCTTCAGCTTGTTTGATAAAGAATTTGATTTGCTGATAGAGCAACAAAAGGTCAGGTAAATCCCACAGATTCACAGGGAAACACCATCTGAGAGATGGTGATGTGAATCCCATGGAGATGAGTTTAGGTGAAGGTTTATTTGATGGCTGTCCTGTTCAGTGAACTCAGCAAATGCTGGGTCTTGGAGGTCTGAGTGAAACGGCCTCTAGCAAAACTTAGAGAGCTGTCAGAAAAGGACAGGCCACGTTTTAATCYGTAGTGATGCAACATGACATTCAAAATAACAGATAATGGGGAGTCCCACTGGAGCCTGGGAGCTTTCATCTGATCTAAATCAGATTTTGCTGCTTTTCAGTACTTTAGTGAGGTGCCAGGACATGGGCAGCACCAGACACTGCTGCTGGACAGAGCTCTGCTGCCATCCAGACTTTTTGTGGACATGAACACAACTAACCTTGAACAAACGTGAGACATTTCAGCTGTTTTCATGTCATTTATTGAAAGGAACTCTTGTCTTTTAGTTAAGGAAAAAAAATCTGAAGTGGAGACTTTTCTCAGAGTGTGGTAATGGCACTCAGAAGTAACTGAATATCTATTTCTTGTTTCTGAAATAACCACTAACACAATTCTTGGTTGTATTCTTTTCTTAAAAATTAAATGGGAGAGTATCATGAAAGTGAGATATTGCTTTGCCAGCAAAATATTTGTACAAAGGTTTTCAGTTTCCAGGCATGCAGGAGAAGATACAGGAGGCAGGAGATTTTGRTTAAAAYCTRGTAAAAGTAGKGTGGACTTTTGGACTGTTATTAAGRYCAATAAGGATAATGTGATGAGAGAAATTTTTGTTGTAGGATCAACTTWAGCACAACTTGTGCTGCCWTRAATCTGCTTCCAGTTCCATCAGCTTTACCCCAGTGTTAATCACTTGGTTTGACGGGCTTAATTTCTGATTTACATTTGCAAATGAGATCAACAATCACTTTCTTTGCCTTCAGAAAAACAGAATAACCATTAGGGGAAACACAGGACTATTCTTGTTATAACTCCCCAGYGTTTAGTTCTGAATGGAAGAAAATGTGACTGCTTTCTGCAGGTGTTTCTGAAGAGTGAGCAGAATATTCTTTGTCACAAGCTCAGATGTAATGGTCTTAATCACAATGTATGGCTCTCCTAGCTGCCACAGGACATTTAATAYGTTGGAAAAGGTGTCTCTGTTCCCTTGTAAAAGCCAAATTTGCTTTTACAGCCTTTGCCCATAATGCAGCAGGAGAATGGTGTTAATAACCATTTCATTGTGGCTGCAGAAATCTTCTGCACATCTCCAGGGAAAAAGCAACTTTTTCATCTGTGAATGGCCCAAGTGTTACCTTTGGAAGCCTTCCCTCTTGGGATCCAAATGCTTCCTTGCACACACAACCTGTGCTACCTAATTGTTCTCCAGGGGAGCAAAAGTGGGTTGGTGGGTTGGGTTTTGGTTTGTGATTGTTTCTGGCTTTGTTTGAACTCTTGAAGGCTGTAGGTGTGCACAGTATTCACACAGGGAAAGGGGCAGCCATGGCTATTTAATGGGAGCACTGGGAGCTGTGGAGCAACAAGGAAAACCTCGGGAAGGATCACACAAAGGGTCCCAAGAGCTGTGGGCAGAGTTGGAAAGGATTGGGGCTGTTTCTCCCAGGTGTGTGGTGCACTGAGCTCTGTGAAGGGCTCTATAACAACACAAAATGTTCTGCTGGGCCTACAGAACCTTGGGAAATGATCCTGTGAAAAAGAGCAAAAACAACCAATTCTGTTTTTTGTTAGAGAAAATGAAATATTCTAGGGAGGTGTTTGCCCTGCACTGTAAGGCTTTAGTCCACGCTGAGGATTTCAATGTATTTGTGTCTTTGCCTGCCTTGATTTGTTACCTTGGTCCCAGCTTGTGCAGAGAAAGTGAAGACTCAGAGGTCAGCAATGAGTGGTTTTGAAAAACCAAGTGGTGACTGTGTCTCCCTCGAGCTTGGAGAGTGGAATCACAGTCTGTCATTTTTCAATACTTCCCACACTGCCATACTTACTATTTCTTTTGCTCATTCTTCTCCCCTTTCACTACAAGAATTTYATTTCCTYTTTGTGARTAAAAGTTAGCTGATTCTTATAATTTTTTTTTAAATGTACTTTGATCTCAGACAAAGTTTGATGGGATTAGTCCTCCAATAATGTGTCACAAGCATAATCTTCAACAGTAACCTCAAGGCAGCTTGCCTTCCACTGGGAAATGGATTCCCAAAGGGAAGTGAAGTTGCCTGGCATGAGTAAGAATCAGGTCACTTGGTCTAAATGACTAATTATGCCTTTTAGTACTTAGCTTTTGGATTCCAGTTTTGACCTCTAAATGTAGAACAAGTTCCAGATGTAGTCAGCAGTAGCCTCACTTAGAGGCCCCGGTGTGGATTTTGCTGAAGGGCTGCTCTGTTCAGAAGAGACTCCTCGTCCACACAGATACCAAGGCTGTGAAGTTCAGTGGTGTTTCCCTGTAAATCAGAGAGATGATCATCTTGAACCAGGGTTTGGACCAGTGGATTCACACAGCTGTGTACCAGCTTTGGGCATGTGTGTGCAGATGTGTGYCCACACAAACGTGTATCCACAATTGTGAAGTAAAGGTATTCATTAATCTCATTTATAGCCACAATCAACTGAAATACTGCTAATCATTAGGCTTTTGTTCATATTTGAATATTGCTTTAAAAGCCTTTCTTTTAATGTGTTTCTTTGTCTTTTCCCCCAACAGTTTCAGTGCTGTAGGATTGGAAACAGGACTTTTTAGGTTTTTTCCTAGTTGTTTTATTGCTTCCCTCTTGCCTCCATTTACGCTCTTGAACTAAAACTGGAGCCTAGGTTTCTTCATGGGCATTTACAGTTAGGGATTCCTGAAAGTTTTCTGATTCACTGAGAGTTGTTCCATAATTCTTTGTTCCTGTCAACCTCAGTGGTCAATCAAATGAGAAAATCTGGCTTTGCCTCCATCTCTGTCTTTTAGATGATAATGTGAGGGGCTCATCTACCTCTCAAGAAACTGTGACACTCTTAATTATTAGCAACCTACTCTGTCTGTGATTAAAAGTGGGTGTTCCCTAGATATCTTTTACTGAGGAAATGTAGGAATATATTGAGGAAATGAGGACACRTTTCAGCGAGGTCAGAGGTATCCCCAGCACGTTCTGCAGATTGTCTGTCAAGGCTGAGCAGTGAGAGTGCGTTACACAGCGTGCACAGACAGTTCTGTAAACCATGTTCCTATTTAAAAACATYCAAGTGGAACAAACTTACTATTTCGTGTCACAACCAGGATCATATTCACRTTTCAGCAGTGGGAAGGAAAAGATGAAAGGCTTAATTCACCTATCACCATGCTGGGGATTTTCTCTGGCTCCACCTCTGCCCTTTCCTCTGTCCTCATTCCCAGTGCTTTTGAGCTCTGCCTGCAATGCATTTCCGTGCTTGCCAAGATATCTCTAACTAGGGGTGAGTTAATGAGAACATCTGGCCAGGAATGAGGGATGATGCTCTGTGACCCACCCACTCAGCACATCTGCTGGTCATGGGCACCGATGGGAGACCTTACTGAGCATTAAGGCTTCTGYAGGGAAAGAGGATTTTCTCATCTGTGGTTGGGTTGATTGAAAACACCCAAATCCAATTGGTTATATAAAGGGACTTTCATGTACATGGGGGAAATGCCTATAAATAGGTGCACACACACACAAATATACACTTTGTAATTTAATTACAGTATACAGCCAATGTGTAAGAATGTGGACTGCCTAAAAAAATCTCTTTTTAATAATTAGTCCCAAAAGTCCTAAACTGGTTAACCATCAAGGCATACTGCAAGAGACCTCTCTTTGGTAAGGGCTTTTTGAAGGGCTGAATATACATTCTCTCCAAAGGGASGAGAGGATGAAAAGAGTTTATGTGCTTGGAAAAGTTCCTTTTTGAAATTATTATTTTAAAGCTGCTGAATTATTTTTTTTTCTTTCTAAGGAAGAACTAATGTGTCCAGATACTTTTGTGAATATCTTTTTATATATAGGTAGATGTAGATATACATCAATGAGTACCAACGTTCTGCTCATTTTGGTTAAAAAAAAAAAAAGAAAAAAAGATGAATTTTTCAGAAAGCACAATGAATCACCCATGAARTGAAAATACTGGGCAAATTCTCTTTTGTTTAACAGAATGGCCTGTACACAGTTCAGGCCAGCACATTTTTCATGGGATGCAAGGGAGCAGTTCAAAGAACTGGCAAGGAGTAGGTCCTGCATATTCATGAGGCTGGGCAAGGAGGTGAARGTACAAGAGAAGGCAGAAAAGCTCTGTGAGGACAGAGTGGAATGTGCAGCGAGTTGCCACGGTATCCTATTTTACTGCTCTTTGACGTAAAGGCTCCTTTGCTTTTACACAACCGCTGGAACTGAATGGAAGCAGCTCGGGGCGTAAATAATGAATGTGCCTCTCACTCTTGAGAGAGGAGAATCTGCACCTTGCCAGGGAATTAACGTGCCCCTCTCATCTCTCCCCAGTCTCCAGCCTGTGTTCCCGAAGTCAGTCAAGAACTCATCCAACAGACGGAGGAGAAGCTGGAGAACAGCCCCTGCAAAGAGCTGTTCTCTCCCTGCACAAAGTAAGTATAACACRGCACCCCAAGAGCAGAGCTCACAGATTCACATCTCAGTGTGAACCTGAACAGGTATCCTTGGCTGCTGCTCACAGTCCGAGAGGCAGAGCTGACAAGCGGTGAAGTCATTCCATCTGAACRAAATATAATAAATATTTCCATGCCGTTATATACACTGCACACAGGCACTCACTGTTTCAGGTATTTGACAGAGTGTTCTAGCCAAGCAAACCAGCCGTGGATTTCATGCTGTGTGAAAAGAGCTACGATGATAATGTATCCAAAGAAAACATCTCTGTTTCAAAGTGAATAAAAATTAAGTGGCTATACAGCCCATTTAGACAGAGGAATGTGCAAACTTGCTCCGCATGGCTTTTCCAGAAAATCTTCACCGGGAGAACGGGGCTTTTTTAATGCTTTCTGTCTGTCTGTGGCGCTCCAAAGAACGTGCATTATTTCACCCTTTGTCTGGGAAAAGGCTTATCGGTTTCTGCAGCTTTGTGCCATTATGTGCTAAAGCTCCAGGTATGCAATCTGCCTCTGCAAACCCTGCCCCGAGCAGGCTGATCATAAACCAGTGAAATATGAAAGGGAGGAACAGCCGCGCGCGGGCCCGTGCGGTCGCTGGCTGCGCGCGGTTTGTTTTCCCCGGGTGATGTAATGGGGATTTGTAAAATTTGCTCCGCTGTCATTCATTGTTTTGACTCATCTCATTGACCTTTTCTGGTTTCAGTTATTCTCTGCGTTGGTAGGAGCTGTGGGTTATTTCTGGCCCTCTCRGAGAGCGCAGCCCTGGTGTGCTGTAGGGATGCTCCGAAACTCGTGGGTGCCAGTCCCAGCGACAAACCCCCCTGGTGCCTGTTTCCAGTCCTCAAATCGGCTTGAAAGCTGACAGTTCCCTCTAAAATGCACTTTGTTGTTGCCAAAGAGGGGAACTAAAAAGCAAACAACTGCTGAAAGGCAGCTATTGTTCTTTTAAAATTCGTGCAGCTTTTAATGAACTGAATGGAAYGGGGGAGCGTTGGACACCGCTCAATGCGAGCTCGTTCCTCCGTCCCAGCTGAAACACAGGAATGAGCCAGGTTTGGGACCTTGTTCATAAATATGCTGATCGTTTCACACGGACCAAAATGAGGTCAAAAGGAAGTTTTAAAAACTTGCTGTTGGTATTTACCAGTCCTGAATGATGTTACTTTTGGATGAGCTCTCAGTCAGACCAGAAAAGGGAGGCATACACACCAATATGAAGCCTGCTGTCCTGGAGGAGCAGGGATGGGATGAGTTTCATTCACATCCTCATAGATAAAAAATCAGTCTGCAAGAAAAATGCATGTAAAATTTAACTTCTGCTTTTACCTTTAGTGTTTTGACTGCCTGCMCCTGCTCTCTTCCAACTTCACCTAGAATTCTGATGTTGAATTTGGACACTTGTTTAAGGCAGATTAAGACTTACTTTTTATTTCATTTTATAATCTTTAATCCATTTGGGGAAAACATTATGATCTGTGTCCAGTCAAAGCTGATGAGGACAGCCACAATTTGACTTGTGAATACTGAACATGTGCAATTACCTTATCCAAACTGATGGCGCAAGAATTACAAAAAAAAAAAGATATTGTAAGAGCTGAGAAATTAAAAAAATACCAGCTCATGAAGAGGGAGGAGCTAAATTCAGGAAACACATAACTGATGGTGACTTGTTTGTTCAGTGAACTGCCCCAGGGTAAGACACAGACTGTCCATCCCCAAACCAGAATAGTCCTTCARAGAGGATTTCCCCCTCCCAGCAAAATCAGGAAATGTGTCTCTATGCCCTTAGACACAGGCACAAACATGTCTGTGTGCAGCCAGAAATGCTCATTTCTTCTGGGTGTTTTTGACCCAAACCCAGTTTCTGTGCTGCCAGTGCTGCCGGCAGAGGTGGATGCAGGAGCCCCAAAGGAAAGCAAGAACCAACACCAGCAGTTAAACATGACCACCCTCATTTTGGGCAGCTCCCAGCTCAGTCCATGTTTGCCTTACCCGTGGCCTTTCTGATGGGGTGCCTGATGCTCTCTGCCTGTTTGCTGCCTGTCACAAGCAACAGGTTTTCTTCTCACATTTGCAGACTGACCCTTTTATTCCTTTCTCCCTTCCATTGTGCAAAACACAGCATCCACTGCATGAGTCCCAAATTTCTTTCCTTGATCCAGAAGCAAATCCACACCCCTGTCCAGGCTTTTCTTTCTTCTGTTTTTCTCCAACAGCACATAGCCGTTAGGAAATCCTCTTTGACTTTAGTCATGTGTACTAATTCTTCTGTATATCAGGAATTGAAACTGATCTTTTTTATTAAAAATGCCTCTGGTGGTCCTTCTTGGACAGARATGGGCTTCAGCCAGAAAGTTTCTATCTGGATGTAAACATCTCCCAAAATTTAGGAGCTCAGTTCCTGAGGGTGTTTCAGTTTACTGACAGAAGCAAAGACATTCTCTGTCTGGTGGCTAACAACCTCTGTAAAAGYCCATTAAAGCCAGTGGGAGTTGCCCTGTTAATTTTCAGCATCACCAGTATTCAGCTTGTATGAGGCCTCCTGTTATAAAACACATCAAGCACATCACTTGGTTTCTAGATTGAAACAGTGAGTAAAGTAAAGTGCGAAATAAAGTAAAAGTAAAACAGTCCTACCATACGAGAAGTCTGGGGTTTTCTCCTCTTGTTTTGTGTCTCTTTTGCTCCAAGTTCAGGATTATAAAATGCTTATATATCTTTTTCATCTGAGATAGATCTGTCCTTGACCACCTCAGTGGGGAACCATTCCAAGAGTACCTAAACAGCATGTACTTCGACAGGTTTCTCCARTGGAAGTGGTTGGAAAGGTAAGTGTCAGGATTTTTTTTTTAAATAAAAATAAATAAAAAGGTTTATTTTTGTTGCCTGTGCAAAGTCTAGAATATGCTCAAAACGTGACAGTTGAGATAATATGTTTGCTTCTACAGCTGAAGTGTTTGCTCATTGAATGGTCTGAGGTACATTAAACATATTAGGTATGATTAATGTAAATTCAGCAACTTCAGCTGTCTTTCTGTTTGGTTATCCTCTGATTGTGGTGACTTTTTGTCTGGACCAGTTATCACTGTTAGTAAATCACTCTAAACAGAGACAAGTGTGGCGTGTAGGTCCTCTCACAGTATTCATTGGCTGGACATTCCTGAGCACATTTCATAACCAGGCAGCCCTAGTGGGTATTAATTTGCCAGGAAAGGGGTTTGTGCCTTGCCCTTGTCAGGGAGGGCTGTAGCAGACGGTCGCTGCAGGGTGACAGTGACCTTGAGCTGAGACAAGAGCCGTTCTCCACAAATGGAATTAATTACGGCGGATGCGCCGGGGCCAGATCCACGAGCCGTGTGTGTCAGCAGGACGCCTCCAGATCAAAGGAGCTGTGCCAGTTCCTCTCCCTGGAAAGCCACAAAGCTGCTGCTCAGGAGGGGTGGGCAGAAGGAAGAGCCATTTGATGCCAAGACATGCTCCACATGCCATCTTTACTGAGCCCAGCATTTACTCTTTCCATTTCAATTAAAAAAACATCAGATGATTCATCTCTAGCCAGGCTGTTTCCTATCTATCTTCACATTTGGGATAAGGAATTTTCTGAAATGCTTTGAGGATTTTTTTTCATTCCCCCAACAAGTGTGGCAGGCTATTGGATCTGCCTGGCTTAAGAAGCTGGGGGAATTGTTTKAAGGATTAGCAAAGAGATGTTGGTAGAGTGGAGTGATCAGCAGCTCCCTCTGACAGCCTGCTGGCTCCAAGGAGCAGTCACACAGTCCATTTATTCCAGAGACATTGCTGAACATGTAGTTATCACTACTAATTGTTGCTTTTAACCCCAGAAGCATTTGCAGCAGCCTCGTGGAATACTGAAAATAACATCTTTTCCACTTCTAGTTTTGACTTTCTGCATACTGTTCTTCCTCTGCTTTGGAAAAGAATAATGGGMTTTAATGAAAGGATTCACTTCAACATTTATTCCTCATTGTCATCAACCTCATCATCCCTGTGGTTGGGAAGAGCCACATTTCTGTGCTCCCTCTGCCGGCTGGCTGCCTGCCAGAGGGGAGCAAGGACATCAGGAATATTCATATCCACTGCTAGGATCCTTGTAAAACCTTGGTGATGGAGTGCTGGATACAAAATGGGGTAGAAATCTTCTTCTGATGTGTTATAAAAAAGTAAAAGTTGGATGTTGAGTTGGAGGAATTCTGGAAGAGCAGATTTTTCTGGGAGATTGTAAAGGGATCATGGCAAGGGAGATCATGGTTAGGGAGAACTCTGCCCTCAGAGGGATTTATTCAACCCTAATTTGTCTCTTGCTCCCTTCTTGCCCGTCATGCTCCCCCATGGAAGGAGGCAGCCCATGGGGGGATGGACTGCCTTGGATCTCGTCTTCCTGCTCTCCCAGCCTGCAAATGACACATAAATCTACCTCTCCTGCTCCCTGGATTGTTTCTGTCCTGGATTCATACAAGTTTCATGTTCTAAGACACCAGAAGTATTTATATGTCAATATTATGGACTGGAATTTCAGATCTCTTTTTCTCATCTTGCAGGCCAAGCAGAGCAATGCGTTAGCCCATGTTKTATGTCATGGGAATTAATACCTTACTGGAAGATCTCAGGCTTCCTCTTTGCTTAACAAAGGCCAAAGCTGTGTAATGGAGATTCAGGACCCTCCATGGTCCTAARATGCTAGCAGAAATTATACTGATGACTCACTAATGTGTTGTATTTTATTACAGCTTAATATGTTGGAATTGAAAAGTTCAAGCCATACATAGTATTGAAGTAATGTCATTACATAATTATCTATTATATTATATAATAGGATTACCTTGAAACAATGTGATTATATAATATTTATCTATTTTGCTTTTCAAAAGCATGCTCTGAAATAAATAAATCACKGAGARTGCATCAAATGTAGTRTGGTGGATATTTTATTTATTTMTTTTCTTTTCTTCCAGGCAACCAGTAACGAAAAACACATTTCGGCAGTACAGGGTACTGGGCAAAGGCGGCTTTGGGGAGGTGAGTAATTCTGAAACTTTCTGCTAAGAGYGTTTCTTGCTTTTTAGACACTGCAGGTACAGGGGCCTGATGTGGCAGAGGCCGATTTTCATTAATTGCTGACAGCTCTACCTCACCCCTCACCACACCGCAATCTCAAAAGGACACTTTTGAGAGTTCTTTTGTGTCCAGCTGTTGCATTCACAGTGGAACTGGGGTTACATTCACAGTGGAACTGGGGTCACACCCTTATTTTGTGTTTTTCCTGGTGGCTGGAGGTGGCAGCAGAGGCAGAGGAGGTGCAGACCGAGCGATTACGATCTGCACAGACAAAAGGAGGTGGGAGAGGAAGCGGGCGGAGGAAAGCRAAATAATTAAACCAATATCCCGCAGCAGGTTTGGGAGCAGTAGCCAGTCCCCAGCTGTCCCTGGCTCACTGAGCCTCCATCTCTGGCCTTAAAAGGACTAAATCGGGGGAGATGGAGAGGAGCAAAGCGCAGCCCAGACGCGGCGTTTGCTTCGAATTACCCGGCAATTGTTGTKCTCCATCCGCAGGTCTGCGCCTGCCAAGTGCGAGCCACGGGGAAGATGTACGCCTGCAAGAGATTAGAGAAGAAGAGGATCAAGAAGAGGAAAGGAGAATCCATGGCGCTCAACGAGAAGCAGATTTTAGAAAAAGTCAATAGTCAGTTTGTAGTGAGTATTGAGCTCYGTGCATTCGCTGCTCACCTGCTCTGGTTGAATTTGGCGTCTCCTCCATCTCCTGCTCCTGGAAAAGTGTCAGGAGCTGTCTCCCTTTGCTGTGCACCTTAGCCCTGCTCTGTGTGATTTTTCTGAATCTCATTTTAGTCTCTGGCCCATGAGAGATGCAGAAATCAAGGGGCCTGTGCCTGCCATGGGAGYGTGGTGTGTTTTACAGCCTCGGCTTGCATCAGAGCTGGGCTATTCTTATCCAGCGTGATTACCTGAATTCCCAGGGCCTGGGAAAGAGGTGCTTGGAGGAGGATGAAGGAGATTCAACCCAAATAGATCAGAAGGGATTGGCTTGCAGAAGCACCTAAGCAGTGAAGTGGAACTGCTCTGCCTGATGCAGGGCTCTCCTGAGTCACACCAGCTCTTGTGCCTCATTAAAACTTGCCTTGAATTAAAAAAAAAAAAAAAAAGAAAAGGTGTTATCTCAGCATCTGTCATGATCTTTATGCTTATTTCAGGAAACTCTGTGTATACAGCAGATGCAAGGTGTTTACTTACATGTTTTACTTGCTTCTGTGCAGGATGACACATATTTAAAAGTGATGAGTAGCTTTTGGCTGGTCTGATTTTTCCTTGGGCAGCCACCAGAGCCTCGCAGGGAGGACTCTGTCCTTCATGTCTCAGTGATGGTCTCCAGGACTGGGATATCTGGGCCTTCCTGGGAACTTAGTGAGAGGCAAAACAGTGCAGCAAGAGGTGTAGATTCCCTTGATTACTAAGATTTCTCATACATGGGAAAATATGCCTGGAATTAGTATGTTTGTCCAGCCTGTGAAGCCGTCTGAGCCTTGAGGGTTTCTGCTGATAAAAAGGCTGGATTCCACAAATTCATCTATAAAATCCTAACATCTGTGTTTTCTGTGCTTCTAAAATCCATGTTTGCCATTGTAAGAGGGCCCATACCAAATTCAGTCAGTGTATTTTTTTCATTTTCTATAGARAATCTTTAGTGAAAAGCAAGCACTTCCTTCTTAGCAGCCGTCTGAACTGTCACAACTGTGCTACAAATGTTTTTCTAGGTCAATTTAGCCTATGCCTACGAAACAAAGGACGCACTGTGTTTAGTTCTGACCATAATGAACGGAGGTGACCTGAAGTTCCATATCTACAACATGGGAAACCCGGGCTTCGAGGAGGACAGAGCTTTGTTTTATGCAGCAGAGATTCTTTGTGGCTTGGAAGACCTACACAGAGAAAATACTGTGTACAGGTAAGCGCTCTCTGGAGTCTTAGGATGTCTTTTCTGGGAAGGAAAGAATTGTCTGCATCCTCCCTTCCCGTTGTGGTGCCATGCAGCTTTGGCTGAAATTTCGCAGAGCTCTGTATAAATACGATACAGTAATCATGGAAGGAAGCAGTTGCTTTCCTAAATGCATCCTGTCTAAATTACGCAGAACGAGCACAAATCTGCCCAAACCCTACCTCAATGTGTGCTGGATGATATAAGAAAATGATGGAAGCTCATTTAAAGGGATTTCATGAAGGAATCGAGCTCCTAGTTGGGGTGAAATGGAGCTCATTCCAAAGGGATTTCATGAAGAAATTGAGTTCCTAGTTGGGGTGAAATGGAGCTCATTCCATCCCAGCCTCTGTTTTAATTAGTTAGCTGATCTTGCATGAGAGGCTGCAGCAATCAGATGTGGCACAGGCATTGCAGTCCTAGGAGGGCGTCTGGGACACGGGGCATGGATCTGATCAGCTGGATGGGATYGTGGTGATCCTGGCCTGCCAGCCATGGAAAAAATCCCATTCCCAGCCACGCAGCAAAGGCATTSTGCTGGCAGAATCCCACCCCACCATCCATGGGTGCAGCCAGCGGGCACGGCACTGCCCGCCGCCGCTTCCAGGAGGGCACATCCYAAGGTCTCAGCTTCCAGTTTGGCTYACAGCTCRACACAAGCACTTTTCCASGGCAGGCTGGATAAGCAGGCAGATTGCAGACAGAGTTCTTGTGACTCCACGAGGATTTATTTTTTTTAATCAACAGCCACTGTAGTTGTAAACAACGGTTAATGTTTGTCTTCATCATCCCAGCTTGTGAAATCATCGCTGCTGGCACTYGCAGCAGAAGAGGGCCTCTAAATTGATGAAAGAACTTCCAAGGACAATGATTAATAGACAATAAGATGCTATTTTTAAAAGCCAAGCCACGCTTTAAATCATTTGATATGCCTGGGTGTAGTATGTATGATGCATATGCTCACATGCACAGAAATTACAATGTTGTTGTTCCTTGGAGGAGATCTCTAGCAAGCTGCCACTTGGTTGCCTCAGATCTTGCTAGCTGGCACACAGAGGGCAGACAGATAACATGCTGATTTAGTTGGTGCTCACCCAAGAAGGAGGTTTTTTTTTTCTTTCCCCAAGGAACAAAATGGTACTGAGTGTTTAATGTCAATTGAAAAATCAAATCGTGAGTGAAGTGTCTGGCTTCCTTTTCCTTTAGAAAACCTCCTACTACGTTTTAAAGCATTTTAGGAGGTAATAAAGCTTCACAATMATATTTTATTGAAAAAGATGGCTGGTACATTCATAACATGGCCGGTAAAATGCCATACTAATGCCATTTCCTAATAGAAATAATCAGATCTGGCCACCAAAAATAGTATATGGCTCTGAGAGAAACGACACCTACTTCCTTAAGCAGCAGTTTCCATGTTWCTCTTAAAAGAGCTGCTACTTTACACCTCAGATGGCACATTCACTTTGGTGATGAATGATATTATACCCTTGTAGGTGACATTTTCTATCAGCATTTCAGGAGCATCTGCAGAGACCCCTCGTTTGTAATAGCACAGWATGTTGTGGGACCCGTGAGAAGTGCTATATAGGTCAATAAAATATAGCAGCTAAATGCTACCGCTTTCTCAGGGCGAATAATTCATCACAAAGCACTTATTCCTCGGGTTTAATTTCATTTTCTATAAACAAAATGCTCCTGAGTAAATCACAGCGTTGGAAAAATGCATCCCCATCTCCTGGGCTGCTGCTGACGCACGCTGCAGACGTGACCCGGGAGAACAACCAGGCTCAGAGTCAGATTTATCTCATTCAGAATTCCCTTGTCAAACATGGCACTTGTGTTGCATTTCTCAACTGCATCGTGTTAGCAAAGGTCAACTGGCTGGTTGTTCATGGAAAGCAAACTAAAAAGCTGCTGGTTCTCGTCAAATTATATACATATATATCTTTACATTATATTTTTTATTATGTATTTATATGTTTATTTTCTATTCTATGTAGAAAAAATATATATAAAACATTTTTTGTTTTATATATGTATTTTTTTATATATGTAATTTTTATATATGTAAATTTTTTTTCCTTTATACTATAACCATGCCTGGAAGCTGCGGTCAGCCCCAAGTTCACATTGTTTGAGGCATTGCACAAATACATGGTCAAGCCTTGTCCACAGTGATTAATTGAGCTGTTTAGGCTGTCCTGCACAGCCAAACAATTGCTTTTTGAGCATGGGCACGGTGCCAGCAGTTCATGTTTCAGTATGATTGGGCAAGGCTGCTTTACAAATGGGAAGCTGATCCTTTGGGAAGCAGCTTTACGTGTCAGTGTGTCCAGCAGGGAATGTTGTTCCTCCTGGACATTTCAGTCATGAGCCCTTGGAAGTGTTGGCCATGCAAAGGAAGCCAGCCTTGRTCCTGAGGAGCCAGAAATCTGAAAAACAGGAATGACAGCTGACATCTGGGAGGGGAGGAAAGCTCCCTCTAAAAGCCCTGAACTGCAGAGGGCTGTAAGGACTGAACTGGTGTGCTCAGAGTCCTCATGGAGTCTCTCATTATCTCATTGAAAGGCAACATTTCCCAAATTGCACACCAAATTCCTATCATTGGCCCCCAGTTATAGTTTCAAGTGGTTCAAATAACTGAGCAGAAGATGAAGTCTCTGATGAAGGCTGAGTTCTTCAAGGAAATGGTTCTTACAGGATTTGGAACATGTTTTTAAAAATAAATAGGAGATGCCCTTGACGGTGCTGCTCCAGTGTTGGAAACCTTCTGCTGATAGCAGGGAAAGCCCGCAGTGGTGTGTTAAACAAAATTACAGCTTCTCCTCAGCCTTCAGCTGCCCTTCACATATTTCAGCATTGTTTATTTGAAAAGTAGGCTTGGTACCACTGGGCACTGGGTGAGGTTTATCTTGGAGGTCAGCAAGGTCTGAAGCAAGCAAGRAGAGATGATTCACAGCTCTCTGTGTTCTTGCTTGAAATAATAAATAAAAACAAGGCAAGTTGCAAAATTTCAATCTGGGCATTGTCGAAACCATAAAATGGTCTCCTTCATTTGCAGGAAAATTTGTGATCCTGTGATCCAGTGGTACAGCTGGAGAGGTGGGGTGGGCTCCTGCATTCCCTGGGGCTGGGGTTCCTCTGGTACACCCCACCCTCTCTTTGCTCTTTGCACAGAAATGCCTCTGGCTGTGAAGTTAACGGGACCAAGCTGGTTCACAGATGCCAGGAGGCTTTACAAAAAGGAGAGGCCAAGCACTGCTTGGATCTGCACCAGGCTAAACACTGTCTTAGACAAAAGCCAGGGCATGATGTGGTGAATTGAAGCAATCCCGTTTTCCCTGCCTCACCCACTGGTGCCTCATTCAGGCTCCTGAGCCAGCACAGCCCAGTCCTGGGCTTTACCCTTCCAGGACATCCCTGCCCTGCATGTCCAGATCTTCTCTTTGGCATCTCTGATCCCCTCTCCTGGGCTGGCTTCATTCCCACTCTGCACCAGCAGAATGGGAAGGAGCCCACCCTGCTCCCACCTCGGCAGCCCAAGGATKGCAGCAGCATCTGCAGAGTTGTGCTGGGCTTTGGGAAGGTCTGGAAAACAGCTTTGGTCAAGGAGGGGACAGCGTGGCTGGYCTGGGCAGCATCTCAGAGCAGCAGCTGGTGGAGCAGGTTTTGTGCAGACAAACCTTTCAGAAGAAYGATCTGCCAAGGCTCTGCTAAATGTATGAAAACTGAGATTATTTACTTCAGAGGTTTATAACTTGTCCAGATTTGGGAATTTTGTTTTTTTCATAGGAATAGTAAAAGGCACATCTTTGACATCAGAGTGACCACCTTGCCAATTTTCGTGGCATTGCTCCAAACCACACAGGCACTAGAGTTTCACAAGTGTTCGTAAGAAGAATCTTATCTGGGCAGAGCATTTTCCCCTCTGCCCCTCATTTTCCAAACTCAACAAAATTATTGCACATGTGTGCAAGTGCATGGACACACATTCACATACTTGGTCTGAATCAAACGCCAGGCATAGAAAATTCGAGCCCAACAGATTGCCATTTTCATTTTCACATGTAAATAAAGTATTTTAAAACCTAAAATCTGGGGTTTTTTTACCGTAGGATTTTCTAACAGAAAATGCTACAGTGATTTAACAACACACAGGACTGTAGGGGTTGGTTTACAGGGCTTACAGGACTAGATGGATGAGTCCATTATAGGGTAGATTAGGAACTAAAAGCTTGGCTTAGTGAAAAATTATWACTCCAGTTTAGAAAAAAGACATAYGGCTCCAGTCTATCTGCGAAGTGAGTTGTAAAAGGTTTGTATTGGTTTCAGGAGTTCCTTGCTGTTTGAGTTGACACTCAATTGGTTTATTATGAGCAATAAATGCCCTCATACAGCTGTATGGTTATGTTATCAAAACCAGCCTCGTGCCCATAACTGCTATCTTTCATTTCCAGAGATCTGAAGCCAGAAAATATCCTGCTGGACGATTATGGTAAGTCCCGGAGGTTTACCGAGATGCTTTCACAGTAAAGTAGATTAAGTTAGTTTTAGGATATATGTTGCACAAAGACAAATAATGCTGTGCAGTGATTAAGAGGCTCAGCAAACACTAATATTCRTGTCCTGGGTGGGGTGGGTGAGCTGCTGGAGCTCAGGGCACAGATGGGAGGGAGCAGCAGTGTCTCAGCAGGGGTTGTTCTGCAGAGCTCAGCGCGCTGGGGCTCTCTGCCTTTCGCYGTTGTTTTTTCCATCCTTCTCGTTGCAAGGCTGATGACACACACAGGGAGCTCTGATTTCTAATTCTGTGCTTCCCTCTCCATTTTTGAAAGTACTTTCTCATCCTCAGCTGAGCCAAGGCTGGTTCTGTGCAAACCCAGGAACCCGTTCATTGCTGAGGGCAGTGATAATCAAATCTYGTGCTGACTTGCAGAGCAGCTGTASCCTCCTCAGCCATCACTGAGTGCAGGATTATGYCAGCCCATCCATCCTCTGGGATCAGCTCAAAACTCTTCCCCACAGCACACTTCTCTCTGCCTTCTTTCATTGCTTTTAAAATACCTAATACAGCCCACTCCAGTCCACAACCTGACTGTTAATGTTAATTTCCCTGCATTGTAGTGCCCTTATTAAWTCCTCTTTTCCATATCAATGAAACTGCTCCAATTCAGTGACTCAGAGCATTCTTTTCTTAAAATGGGCAATAAATCGCAAGAATATTGTAGCAATGACCACAGCTGTGGGTTCTGGACTAATTTGGGTCAGGTTATTATATCTGGTTTATGTTGTTTTGTTTCTTTTTTTCCTTCCAGGCCATATTAGAATATCTGATTTGGGTCTAGCTGTTAAAATCCCCGAGGGTGAATCAATCCGTGGAAGAGTAGGAACAGTAGGGTATATGGGTAAGTCTTCCACTGCTCATCTTTTTTTTTTTTTTTTTAAATTTGCTGAGATTACTTGACTTTCAGACGTATTTCTGCCAAGTAAGCTTAAGAAAAAGAATAAAAAAATATTCATGTTCAGCTGGGTCCAGTTCTGTGCAGCAAGTCCCACAGAAATCCCGACAGTGGAAATCAGAAGAGGGTGAAAGGATTGACCCCTGCAGCTCTCAGTGAGGCTGGTCTATAAATCAGCAAAGAAGACTGAAAGGGGAGACAACAACTGGTATTTTAGTGATTTTAGTGTAGATTTATCTTAAGGGGGTTATGTGCCATAATAAAAGTTTCCTTCYAGTTGCTGCTTTGTGTAACAGTTAAAATATATTTGTATGGTTATGATAAAATGGGYAAGTCCACACCCATGGTCATCTTAACCAGGGTCATCTTGAGTTTTCCTCTGTGTGCAGGGGAGGCTGCACAAAAGAYGAGTAGAGATTTGTACATTGGTAAAAAGAAAACCCCTCACTTCCTTATTTAACTTAATCTGTTTTCTAAATTCAAAATGTAATTATTTTCATGCATTCTCTGGGTGGGCATATTTCTTGGAGTAAAAATTGCTTATGCTTATTTGACTGAATAGAAACTGGCTGATGTGAGCCACTCTTACACCATATGGAGACTTTAATGAAAGCAAGCAAATCAGTTGTCATGTCTAAATTTTGTTATCTCAGTGTAAGTTTGCGTGCACACCAAGGCTCTGTGCTTGTGAGCACGTGTGTTTGTACCCGTGCATGGAGGTGAGGGTGCCTGCAAGACRCTGACTGTCTGCCCAAAAGCATTGTGTGTGATTGCAACACAAAATTAATGGGTTGGGGTTTCTTTGGAGGGAGGGGTAAAATAGCTATAAATTGACCAAAGAGCGAGAATTTGCTTTTGAAGAAATGTCACGGCTGTTTACAGGATGTGTGTTTGCATTTCATTTCTTCCCTGAGAGGAGGAATCTGGAGGAACTCTTAAGATTAGGGCTCTGCCTAATATTTATATCCAACTTCTTTCTGTGCTTTTTTTTTAAACTGATCTGAGTTGTTAGAGAAATCAGAGGACAGCATGCACAAAGCATGTGGCATGTAGAGAGAACACCGTGGCATGTAGCATGCTGCATTTCCTGTAATGCCATCCACAGAAACCAGGAGGTATTTTTATATTTTGCCCACCATTCTCTGTGCATGTGTGTTCAGTCATCGAAATTAAACTTGCAGGCATTTAAAGTGTTTTGCCCCTGTAAATACCAAGCGTTTCCACAAGACCTCTCGCTCTCCTCCACAGCTCCAGAGGTGTTGAACAACCAGAGATACACGCTCAGCCCCGACTACTGGGGGCTAGGCTGTCTTATTTATGAAATGATTGCTGGGCAATCGCCGTTCCGTGGGAGGAAGGAGAAGGTGAAGAGGGAGGAAGTGGACAGGAGGGTGCTGGAGACAGAAGAGGTGTACTCCCACAAGTTCTCTGAGGAGGCCAAGTCCATCTGTAAAATGGTAAGGGGCTGGAAAGCCCAGCGTGGCAGCTCTGTTAGTGATCTGTGCCTGATTCTGGAGGGGCTGAAAAACAAGGGCTAACCAAACTCATCTGGGGATGGGGTGACTGCATTCTCTGTTCATTCAAACTGTGTTTGTTTGGGCTTGTACCTCCGTGAGAGGCATCACAGTCATCCTGAGCCCTCTCCAAAGTTCTATGGCCAAGGGAGAGCTGTCTGTTCTCGTGGGATGTTAGTTTGCAGTCAAGAATGCGTTTCTGTCTTTTATAACCTTGTAGAAAAAAAAATTAAAAGGACTTGATGATGCAAGAAGCTGATTGTCTCCTGCAAGGAACTGCAAACCCCACGCTTCCATTGTCTTTGGTGAGGGCTGGGGGTAAGCAGGACAAAGATTATGCAATGAAATTATTGGGACACTCAAATGTTGTCCCAGCCCATCTCGCTAACTTTGTTAGCAGCTTTTTCCCTGGGGTGCCGGGGTATCCAGCTTTTCTTAATACTGTTGAGCTGTTCTTCAAAATGTTTTCTCACTCCTTCAGCTGGGAGTCATTTTCGTAGCACAATAGCCATGTCTGACAATGGAAATCCTCAATCCCTCTGAGAAATCTCAAAGCTGTGACTGAATTCATCAATGTCTTGTTGACATCCCTCTTTAGAAGGCTGAATCGTAACTTGGAAAAGGATGTGGCCTTTTTCTGGATGTTGTTTGCTGAGGAGGGAAGTGTTCTTTGGAGACAATGACATCTCTGTGTGCTGGTAGAGGGAGAAAGAAGGGGAAGGAAGGTCAGCAAATAGGTAGTGAGAGTTTCACCAATTCTCGTGCAACAAGAGCACATCCACARCGCTCTGCTTGGCTGGCTGCATGAAGAGACACTGAAGGCTCCTTGCAAAACAATACTCATGGCAGCCCTGCCAAGTACCATGCCTGGAAGTGATTAACTCACAGTGCACCAAGTCATTCCTGAATCCTGGGGGTGGTAATTAGCTGACATCACTCGTGATCGATGCTCCCGCCGTAATTGGCGATGCTGAGGATGGCACAGGAGGGTCTGGGGCACTGTGGCTCTCACAGACCATCCCATGTGCCCCAAGAGCCTGCCTTCTCTTCTCAGGTGGCATCTCAGCTCCCATCAGGTGAGGAGCAGCGTCTGCTGGAGGGAGGGGCAGAGAATTTGTGATTTTGTGCGTTCATCTGAAATGGAGMTGCGAGGCTAAAATTGCATCTCGTTGCTTGAGGCACAGAATCAGAATAGTTGAAAGGGTTGAAAGGGACCTGTAAACATCACCTAGTCCAGCCCCCCTTTTCTGGCTGACACACCTATGTGAGCCCTTCTTGTTACTCTTGATGTCCCTTGTGTAACAGAATGAAAATATGCTTTGAAAATAACYGTGAGAACTGAAGAGTTGAGAAGAATTTAATGTAGCATTGATGGGACAGTGCTGTAGATGACCTACCCTGCTCCCAGGAGAGCAGACAGTCATCACACTGTGGTGGTTATTTTCATCTTCCAGCCATGGAGACTATGGTTTGAGGGAGTTGGGACCTCAGGAGATTGTCTAGTTCATCCTCTTGCCTCAGGGAAACTCAGACTATACATAAACCATTCCTGAAAACTTGATTACTACTGCTTCCCTGTCCAACCAYGTGGCATCTTTATTCAGGTGGTTTGTGCAAACTATTAATGGATCCAAAGACAACCTTTCCCTTTATGAGCATTAATGTCTTAAGGCAGGAAGAGTCTTAGTCCTGATTCTGAGTGTGGTGGCGTTTGTGGTTTCCCATCCAAAAGTAATTTATTTTAACAAGTGATGTTTTTTTTTTTTAAAAAAAATCCATTTTTCAAACTTATTTTCTCCAGTTCTTTTTGCTTTTCATATTGAAAGCCAGAGCTTTGTTGCTTTGTATCAGCATCTTAACAAGGAAACAAAAAAGTAATAAAGTACCCAGCATAGCTGCAAAATGAATCAAAAAGCTAGAGTACATAAAAGAAACTTGAGCTTTCACCAASATCCAACACAAAAGGCTTTCCCATAGTGGGCTCTTCAGGGCAAGGGTGTGGAAATGCTTCCTACCATRTTGCCCAACCTTCTCTTCAGAGCTGACTCCATGAGCTAACAGCATCACCACCAAGAAATACATTGTTTTTATCCATTTATTCAGATGAATAAACCCTCTAGTGTCAACCCCACGTCAACCTTCCCCTCCTGGATGTTTGTGCCCTTCTGCATTTTTGCAGGCACATATCATAGCCTCCATTAATCATCATCCATCCCATATTTCCATGTTTCATTTTGTAAGTAATTTCCCATAAATCAGACCTCATTTTGGACTGAAACAGAGATGAATAACAAATAATTAGGAACAGGGGCAGCTGGCTTTCTGGGAAGCTCCCCAACCCATAGTTCCCATATAACATAGCTGCTCCTGGTGTGTTTTTCCTGTGAAAAAACCCAGTCTTTCTAGGAAATGCTCCGTGTTTGTTGTTGTTCTGCCTTGTGCTGCCGATGTACATGCGTGTTTTTCCTGACAAGTGCAGTCATGCATCCAGAGATGTGACTTGAAGTGCATTCAAGTCAGTGTTGGATGGGCCCACGCTGCTGTGCTCCTCCAACACTCTGTCCGTGCCCTGATTGTCTGCATTTCCCACAGACTTGTCTCCCCTGACTCTGTTTATCCCTGCAGCTCCCTTTTCACTCCTCACAAGGGACCTCCCATCAGAGGGTATGCAGAAAACAGAGCCAAACTCTTGGTTTGGTGTCCTGTAACAGGACAGTAAGCAATGGAAACAAACTGAGACACAGCAGCAGTTCAGCTCCCTCTGAACGCTGGGAAGCATTTTTCCATGGTGAGGGTAGCCAAATAGTGGAACAGGTTGCCCAGAGAGGCTGTGTAGTTTCCACACTTGATGATATCCAGAGCCCAAYTGGACATGGGCTGGAACAGCCTGCTCCAGGAGATTGTGCTTAGAGAAGAAGGATTGGACTGGACAATGTCCAGATGTGCCTTCCAGCCCCAGCTGTTCCATGTTTCTCATCTCCATTCCCTTCCCAAAGTGTCCCCCATCACCACCACCAACCAAAGATGATGRGTTCTGTTTCCCTTAAAAGCCATTTTTTGCTGTTTCTCATTCACCATCAGAAACTGTCATCATGCAACTGTTCCTGTCTGCTGCCATCCCCTCCTTTCTGCTTTCATCCCTGGAAATCAACTTGTTCACTCATTATGACACTTTAAAGTTTATCAGTGCTGCCAAAGAATAACTCATTTTTCCTCCTTTTTTAACCCCTTTTTCATCTCTCCCTTCTCATTTAGTAATTGATCATAGTATTGCTTTTTCTATTCTCTAAAAATTGTTTAAAATAATATGTTTACTTCAGTGTCAGGGCTGAACTTTACTGAGGTGAATCCTTAAATTGCTTGATCAGCTGGGTCAATTAAAGTGGTTTTAGCATTTCCCTTGTCTCCTTTCATGAGCAGCAATTTTTTGCTCCTATAATTTTCAGGCTAACATCTTAGAACTTGGAATTATTTATTACATGGTATGATCTGGATATGAACTGACTGATCACATGAAAGATAAAGCAGCGCTTTGGGGACTTTGGGCTTTTTTTAGMAATCCTCACAACAGTTGTTTCTTTTTGTAAAGGAAGCAAAACAAAGTCATGGAAAAAAGTCTCCGCAGAGTTTGAATCCCCAGTGGGGATCAAATGAGTGACAGGAAAGTATCAGAGAGCTCTTTATATCAAGATCTTGATGTAACTTCACTGCTGCTACTCAAGACTCTTTGAAAGTCCTGTTCTAGTCATGCTCTGCCCATGAACCCTGCAGACCAAACCCTAAATGTCCTCTGGAGCCTCTGTCACCGGAACACAAAGCTCTGCTCTTTACCATCAACTCTGTGCAWGGCTGGGTGGCCCAAGCCATCTCCAGGTTTGAAACTCTGAATTATCTGCAGGCTCTACTGCAGAATTACACTGAAATTGTGTTTGATGGGGCCACTTGCACTGCTGTCCCACGGGGGCTTGTCACCAGCCTGATGGAGTTGCTTTTGTTCTGCTCTCCATTCATATTAAATAAACTCTTTGAAGCTGAATTAAACAAGAGTGYAGAGATGACTCAAAGCATACAGTTGTTATCTCCATTTTCTTTTCCATGTCMGATTCCCAAATGGGATGCATATTTCAGGCTCTTGCATGGGTTTACTACTGCAGAAAGCCTCTGGGGCTGCAGGAAATGATGAAAGACTCATTATTCCTTGGAGAAAGGAAGAATTTTCCCTTCTGGAAAGTATTTTACTCCATGCTGTGTCTTGATATCCACAGCAGAAGCCAGGAAGAATGTCTGGTTTCACCTGTTGCCATCTCTTGAGCTGGCTGCATCTACAACTTTTCAAATTCCATTTATTTATTACTTTTTTTCTCCATTGTGACTCTCCTGGGACTCTCAGGAGACTGGCAGCTGCTCCTCTGCAGGGCTTTGCAGGAGAATCCTCTCCTTTCTGTAGTCCTTCTGTCCCAGCCTATTCCCAGTGGCCTGTTCCCTTTTGTGTCTTCCAGCCAGCAGTGGCCAGCCACCCACAACCAGCTGCATTCATGCTCCAGAGACTTCCTTCTCGCATCTGAAGTTACTGAATACTCCCTTGTTTGTCACGGAGGAGCCCAGGAATCCCCAGGCAGCCTTTTTCTATCCTCAGCTACCCTTTTCTCTGACCACACACTCCAAACAACTTACAACTTACAGAGGGGTAAATTCACAGATCAGCTTGGTCTCCCCCTTAGTCCAGACTGCAGAGATGGGAAGTAACCCCATTTTCAAYCTTTCAGAGCTGGCTTGAGAGCAGAGTCTGCAGAGTTCTGCTTTATCATCTCCAGCAAGTCCAAATCTGTCCCTTTCTGCCACCACCTGCACCTCAGCTGAGCTGTTCCTGAGAGCTGCAAGTTTTTCCAAGTTTTTTGCAATTTCCAAAAGTGTATCAGTCATGGATAGTAAAAACAGTCTTTCTGCCCTCAAATTCTTCCTTCCACCTGTCAGGAAAGTGCTATCAACATRAGAATAAAAGAACTTCAGACTCCTTGTCCCAACTAGAACAGAGCAAGATTGTGACTGGAAATTCCAAAGCGACCTTCTTCAYGTAGGCTGGAGCATATCACTGCTGGAATTAAAAATACACCAAAAAAAAAACCTGTACAACAAAAATCCTTGTCTCAGGACCATGAGAGCTCAAAGTCTAATGCAGTGATTTGAAAGTAAAGCATCCCTCTTTCCTGCTAGCTGGGGAAGGCAAAGTCCAGAGTAGTGCCCTGAGAAAGTTCTTTTGCTGTGAGCTGGATGGATGTGGTMCAGTACCATGTGCTCAGAGCATAGAGATGTTTCCTTAAGTCTTTTTGCATTTATGGATCAGCCACTTGTGATCTGTCAGACCAGGTGTCCCCACCCAGACAGCATCAGAGGCAGAGGGAAATGGGGAAGAAAGGGATGTTKCTATTTGGAAGCTGAAAGTTGCTGTTGTGGCCAGCACCAGTGGATTTAAATTTACCCATTCATCTGACTATTCTGTCTCCTGCTGTTGCTGCTGCTGCTGAGGCAGACAGACCTGAGCAGAAGGCTCTTTTGTCCACAAAGCCCTGCAGCTCCATTCCTGTGCTGGCTGCTGGCTGCTGCAGGGTGGTCCCTGCACACATGGGGCACGCAGATTGCCAAASCCATTTGCCATCTCGGGCTGGAAATGAGGCCCCCAGCAGCAAAAAAGCACAACTGAGGTGGCTGCTGGAAGTCAGATAAGAAAACCACCAATGCCCAGGGGGTAGCAGAGCATTCAGAGAAGCCTAAAGAGCTGCGACACTGCAAAGCCCTGATAAGGACAAGAAACCCCAGCTCCAGCCGGGTGCCAGAGGAAAGATCRCAACGTGACATTAGCAGCAAACAATTATTTCCAAGCTGAGATGATGTGGCTGAGGCAGCAGCCCAAGCCGGAGGTGCTGGGGCACACCAGCCCTGAGCTGATCCCACAGGCAGCATCTCCAGGCAGTTTTGCCCATGGGGATCGTGCCTGGCTCCCGGTGCGGCTCCTGCCCCGGGAACACGGCTCCAGCTCCGCAGCCCCCCAGAGCTCTTGGCACCCTGTCCTCCGCAGCTGGGACGGTCCCGGGGACTCCCCCGGGGGTGTTCCCGTGGGCTCGGTGCCTGCCCGGGCTTGGAGAACCCAGCCCATCCCCTGTGAGAGCCGAGCCCCCCGTGCGCTCCGCTGCTGCTCTCGGTGCCATCGCCGTGCCGGGTGGGGCGAGGGGCGAGCGGGGCTGTCGGCTCAGCAAAGCCGGGCACAGAGAGACGGGAGAGCCTTCCCAGCCTCTGTGCCCCGGAGGGAGCCCCCGGCCCCTGTGCTGGCCGCTTCCCGAGCAGCGATCGCCCCGGCCCCGCCGCGCTGCCCTTCCCTTCCCTTCCCTTCCCTTTCCTCTGCTGCCTCCCGGCGGCACCGCCCGAGCGGCTCCGCTGCGCTGATGGATCAGGAAAGGGCGATGAAGGGATCTTAAACACCTCCAGTGCCACCCCTGCCATGGGCAGGGACACCTTCCACTGTCSCAGGCTGCTCCCAGCCCCGTTCAGCCCGGCCTTGGGCACTGCCAGGGATCCAGGGGCAGCCACAGCTTCTCCGTGCACTCTGTGCCGGGACCTCCCCACTGTCACAGGGAAGGATTTCTTCCCAATATCCAATCTAATCCTGTCCTCTTCCTGCTTAAAGCCATTCCCTCTTGTCCATGTAGTCACATGTCCTTATCCAAAGTCCCTCTCCAGCTCTTTTGCACTGTAAGGTGCTTTTGGGTCTCCCCTGTAAATATCGGGGTGTTTCTGCTCATCTGATAGACCAAAGATGCTGAGTTCAAACAGGAGCGCAGGAAACAGGCAGGACTGCACCCAGGTAATGCATGGCCCTTCTCTGAATACAAACAAGGCAGAACTGAGGATAATTACTGGGCACTGGCTCCATGGAGRGAACACCCCTCGAGTTCAGCCCATGAGTTTAAAGGGTTGGTTTGTGTGTCRTGTAATGCGTTGGAATGCAGTGCAATGGCTGAGGGAAATACAATTTGGTATTTTTGGTTCTTCCTAAGCACCTAAGGTTCTTCTAAGGCAAAATTATTCTTGTAAGAGTAACAAACAAACAAAAAAAAAGAACTGAGACAAAGCACACAAAACTTAAAAATGTGCATCTTTCTATGTTGCTAGGATATGTCAGACTTCCTCTTGTAAGTGTTCACTGAAAGCAGGCAGAAGAAATGGTCTCTATTTTGACTGTAAATACTTTACAGCAGGTGATTTTCAGAGGATTTCACCAGCATGTAGAACAGTGCAGTCCTAATCCATTTAGCTTCAGCTTTTAAGTAACAGCAGTTGMAACTCCCCTCTGTACTTCCCTCTGGGCACGTTCAGGAGTAAGTGGAGATAAAAATATCTTTGTGGAGCTCTTGCTTTTCCAGCACTCACCATTGCTGTTGTCACRTTTCAGCTCCTCACCAAAGACGTGAAGCAGCGGCTGGGATGTCAAGGGGAAGGTGCAGCAGAAGTGAAGAGACACCCCTTTTTCAAGAGCATGAATTTCAAGCGGTTAGAAGCAGGAATGCTGGATCCTCCCTTTGTGCCTGATGTAAGTGTGACAGCAAGAGCCCCCTGGGGCCTCTTTCAAGAGGTTTGTTTCTGAAATAGCTTCTGTCTCTCAGGGCTGTCATCACTCTCTGCACRGGTAGCCACCCTAGGAGGGTGTGATGAGTGGCAGGGCTGGAGTGGGGAGGCTGAGAGGAAGAGCAGAGAAGGCTCTGTGGGCATGTGAGTGCAGGGAGGGGGATCTCCTGGTAACTTGGGGCTTGATCCATTCCCATTTATTTCACCACAGCCCTCCTGTATGGCACTGGAGGCACTGGGAACATTTGTGTTCCCTTATCCACAGTATTAGTGTGAAAATTAAGTGGGTTCAGACAATCAATTTTTTGTGGAGCTTGGGACAATCAGCAGTGAAAGCCATGCTGTGCACACAGGTTTATAGGGCTGAAACCAGAATCACAAAGCCCAGGGCTCTGAGGAGTTGGATCATCATGGGAACAGCAATGGGTTACAGAGTCTGAACCAGGCTCAGCTATCGAGTGTCACCTCAGGCAGAGAAGGTGACTGAGAGAAGGGACCTGAGAGAGCATTTGGGACTTTTTGGTGTCTGTGGGGCACAGAACYCAAGGCTGAGCCTTTACTCAGGTTTGCACACCAGGCTCTCACATACTGAAAGTCTTTGTTGTGTTGGCAACAACAAAACTTTTTCCACCCTTTTGTGGTATCGGTTTCTAGYCCAGTGCACAGAGTTATCTGATTATTTTCCTCCTGCAGGGCTCTCTTTCTGGCTGGAGCTTCTGTCCTTAAAGTTCCCATATGGTTCTGAGTAAACACTGCCRTTTTAACTTATTAAGGAAAGTAACRTCTTGGCAGCTCTCATTCCCCTTGCTGCAAACTCAACCAAACCAAAGTGGTTTGAGCCCTACAAAAGTTTACTTTAGTTGCTCTGGTTTTGCTTTGCATTTTACTGTGCGGCCTGGTTACTCCTGCCAATTAGCCCATGGTGTTACAACCTGCTCTAGTGGGAAGAAATAAAGAGACAAGCTGCTATTTCTTTCTGATGTAGAAAATTGTAAAATTCTGGGCTCAAATTTGGGGTCCACCAGAGTCTGTAAAAACTGTGGCACCTAAGGCCTAGAAGGCACCTCTTAGAGACCTGTTTGCAAAAGCAAAGGCATGTAAATTTTTGTGGTTATTTATCAGGAACTCAAGAGCTGCCCCTAATTTAATATAGCCAGTGGCAGAGGTTGTTATCCATCCCATGTCTCTCCTTCCTCTTCTGCATTGCTCCATCTCCACAGAAATGTTGTGAATTGCAGCTGTCAGGAATGCAGAGGGATAACAGCCTTCAGCAAATGGGATTCCTGTCAGGAATCAGCTCAATTTCTTTGGTCACAGTGCTCAGAGCTAGATAAATAAAATAAAATAAAATAAAATAAAATAAAATAAAATAAAATAAAATAAAATAAAATAAAAAATAAAATAAAATAAAATAAAATAAAATAAAATAAAATAAAATAAAATAAAATAAAATAAAATAAAGCACTGCCCAGCTGAACCCCACGGATTGACAGTAGGATTCAGGACCTGCTGGGGCTTGGGCTGGTGCCACCCCTGAGTTGTCCCTGCGTGTCCAAGGGTGGCTGTGCCATCACTGGGAGCTCTCTGGGCACACACACTGCTGGGACAGGTAGCCACTGATGAATCCTGCTGCTCCCTGGGCTGACTGCAGAAATACCAGCTGGAAACTGCATCACTGCAAAGGGTTTTGTCTCRGTTCTCCCAGAAAATTAAGTAGCTCGAAAAGGCAAAGCCGTTTGRCTGTTCCTTTGAAGAAATGCAGCCAAGTTAAAAGAGTTAATAGAGGTGATTCTGGGCAGCTTCCAGCAGCTGAGCTATTAATAAAAACAATGGAAGRATGCCAAACCTCCTCTGTTTTCCTTAGCAATTAGGATACATTCCTTTAAACTTTTAAGCTGCAAACTCCWCAGCTATCTGGGCAGGAGGGCACTTCTATCTGAGGCCTCTTTTCAGAGCTCTCTCCACTGTGCCACTCGCAAACATTCTGCTTTTCTGTTGCTCCCTCTCTACAYAAAAAGACTACTGAAGAGCTCCATTTTTGTTTTCTGGCTCTTTCTGTCCTTTTCCTCTCACCTCTTGACCAGATGGTACATGGCTGGCTAAAACCCATTTTAACTGATGCTTTAAGGACTTCAGAATAGGAAGCTTAATGTGCCTAAAGTGAAGTCAGCCTTTGATGATAAACATGCGGGCAGAGCACGCCCGGAGAAGGAGGATGCAGACACACACTTTTAGACATTCTCACTCGACTGAATCTGTGAATGAAAGCACATGGTCCGACTCAGAAATATTTTTTCTCTCTTGTCATTTCTCTTTTTTCTTTTTTTTTTCCCTGCTGACACAGCCCAGAGCAGTGTACTGCAAGGATGTGTTAGACATCGAGCAGTTCTCCACAGTGAAAGGAGTTAACCTGGACCAAACAGATGACGATTTCTATTCCAAGTTTTCCACAGGATCAGTGTCTATTCCATGGCAAAATGAGGTAAGGATGTGTCATAGCAAAATTACTCCAATAAACCCCGTAACACAGATGGTTTAAGAGGAGCTCTGTGTTTCCAGTAATATATAGCTACTGGATAACTTGCCAGACTYTAATGCTTTCATGAGTTACAAATGGCCTCTTTCAAGATCTGTAATGCAGCACAGATGTCAGGTTCAGGTGACTGTATCTGTTGGCTCCGTGTGTTTGTGTGAATTGGCGAGGATCCTGCTGCACTTCCTCCTCCTGGATTTGTGCAGAGGTGTTCCCACAGCTCTCAGGACCTTCTGCGGCACACACAAATCCCAAAAGAAGGATCCTCCACTGATGACCCTGGTCTCTSCCATTGTCTGCAGTGAGTCCCAGCTGCACCTTGAACTCCTCCAGCATTTCCATAGCTGGGTCTTTGTTTCTGTTTGATATCAAAACACAGCCAGCAGTGGCTTTCATAATCCAGCTCTGCATCAAGCAGCAGATCCACGTGGGCAGAGGGGTGCTAATAACTGGGATTTTGTAATTGTGCTTGTCTTTGCCTGACATCCTCCACAGCCCTAAATAAAGGAAGAGAAAGTTTTGTGGGGCAGCTTCTGACAAGTCTGACGTGCAAACACGCAGGGCAGCCTCTGTTTTTCATGCACTCTATTTGCCCTCCATAGACASCAGCAGGAACCCAACTGTGAGCTCTCCTCTCACGCTGCTGGCTTTGAACAACCCAGCACCACTGGAATTTATTTAGTGCAGATGAATAATTCCTTTTCTTCTTCTTCTCTCTCGCTGTGTTCCACTAGATGATAGAAACGGAGTGCTTCAAGGAGCTGAATGTATTTGGACCAAATGGTACTATTTCACCAGACCTAAACAAAAGCTACCCCCCAGAGCCACCCAAGAAAGGATTGCTACAGAGAATATTTAAGCGACAGGTGAGATCTTTTAAGACCAGGAAACTCCTGTAGATGCCTGGTTTCAGAGCCCTGTTCTGGTGATATTTTTTGCTGAGAGAAAGGCAGTGTGTTTTAGAGAGGGCTGGCTCTCACAGTTACCTCCACATCCCGGGTTTTTCATCTACCCTGTGTGATTCTTTTTTTTTTTTTTTACCACCAGAAGTTCCAGTGTTGTTCCTGAGTTTTGTTTCCAGCAGTTGAAAACTTCTTACCCAACCTATTTTTCAGTGGTATGCTGAAATGCCTTTTGAAACTGCTCAATGGTTTTAAGAAGCTCCTTGATTGAAAATCTTTGATTTATGTTTAAAAAGAGGAAAAAAAAAAGAAAATGCACATTGTGAGGGAGGTAGTCATGGCAGGAAACCAAGACATTAGAGAAGAGAGGATCATAAAATGTGGTGTGCAGCTTTCCTGAGGCACCATGGCACCACTTGCAAATGTCAATAACATTCTCAGACGGGTCTATTTCTGTAGGGTTAAAACCGTGCCTGAGCATTGGCAGGTGTCCTCTGTATTAGTCAGATTTAGCAGATACTGACATTTTGCAGTGAATTGATTTGGCTCCTGGAGCTCGAGTGAATCTTCTTTGCTGCATTCCTCAAGAAGTGCCATGGTTCTGCTGGCCTAGAGAGACTACAGGTAAGAAAGCAAAGAATATTTTGTATCCAAAGATCTTCAAACAAAAGCCTTGCCGTCCAGTCAGTACCATAAAATGAACAATGTTGGACTTTAAAAAAAAAAACAAAAACGCGTGGTATATTTTGGAAATCTAATTGTCATTGTCTTCCTCTTCCTACAGCATCAGAACAATTCCAAGAGTTCTCCAAATTCAAAGGCCAGTTTAAACCACCACATAAATTCGAATCACGTGAGTTCAAACTCCACTGGAAGCAGCTAGTTCCAAGTCAGTCCTACCAAACAACGTGTTGCATCCTTCCACTATAATCTCTGGAGCTTCTGTGGATGAGAGAGCCTCCACCATTGAGTGAAAAGAAGAAAATATGTAACTCCCAAAATATGGAGATTTTCTATCCATTCCTTCCARTGGAGCCTCACATTTTAAGAAGAAATTTCCACTCAGGTCTGTTTTTGGAGGTGGCACTCAAGACTGTGTGAATCAAATTTGTCTCTTTAGAACATTGCAATAGAAATTCAATGAACATGACTACTTGCACGTATTTAAATAGCATCATACTAGAACTGAATTTTGTCTTTATTATTTTTAAAGAAAAGTTTTGTAAATTTCTCTATTGTCTCAGTTTACATTTTGTACATTTGTATTTAAATGAAAGTCAGACTTTGGAGGTGTATATTTTCCAAGCAGCAGCTGTAAAGCCATGTGTTTTAAGACATTTTTTTAAAAGAAACAAAATGTGACTCAAGACTTCCAGAGCCTCAAACGAGAAATCATTCTTTTTAGCAATTCTAGAAAATTCTTCATAAATCACTTTGTCAGATGGGGGTTTATTGACATGCATTTTTATGGARCAGTTTATTCTTAATTATTTTGCATCTGTATATTTGGTTTACAGCAACACTGCATAAATTTCTCCTCTTCATTAGTTCGTAATGTCTCGCATTAAATGCTAAAAGATGAGATTTTGATGCATTCAAGAATGSTCCTTGCTATGCTGAAGGTTTGGGATGCCTTGGGACCAGCACAGCTGAGATTTGCACTCACTTATGTTGTTATTCCATCAAAAGCTTTTTAGTTAGAAAGGGAGCCCTGTTTAAAACTCTTTTCCTTYGCTGGTTCTGGTGCTGTTCCTAATGACAGAAAGAACAAAGCTGAGTGAGAGGCAGCCAGGAAAGCAGATATCMATTTATTTTGSAGTGATTGAAACCTGCACCTGCTGRAATGAGAGCAAAACTCGAATTAYTCTCCGTGCTGCAGCCAAAAATCCAAGTCCTTTCCACAGCTGCCCATATCAGACAGGGAGCAGGAGAGAAGTTCAGCAGTCAGTGCCAACCATGRGATTGGTGAGAGCTTTGTAGGGCTGAGCTGTGAGGGTTCAGAGTGGGATCTGAGCTGCTTTTAGGCAGCACCTGAAACACTTCCATGTGTCCTGCAACCACCCCATGGCACATCCCCTCAGTTGGATCCTCAACTGAATAAAATGTCASTATGAAATAACAATACTCCCACTTTCAGCTCCGTCATTCTTTGTCCAGGATCCTTTAACCATTGACAAAAACTCTGTCCCTGCTAGGATGAAGAGAATCAGGCAGGATCTGCAGCCGTACCTCAGGCATCAGAGYCATGCTCTTCTCAAGTGTTTCACTGTTAAGAACACCAGATTAAAAACATGGTCACTTCTGTTCCAYAGGAACTGGAAAACCTTTGTCCCTCCAACTGCAAGATCTCTACAGCCCAAAATGTTCTGTGAGGTGTGTTGGTTCCCTCTGCTCTTTACAATGTTGGTTGGACTATTCAGATTATTTTAAACCTTTGGGTCATCAGGAACATCTGAAGGCCACCCTGGTGTGTCTCAAATCCTGTTAGCCAGCAGGACAGCTATCCCAGGGTTTGAGGAAGTAATATTCCAGTGGGAATCTTAAYAGTAAAAATGGATTAGACTGCCATGTGCATGTTCTACATGGCCAATGCTGAGGGGGAAAGGATGGAGGTTAGTACTGGCAAACCCCTGAGTGAGAAACACACAGAAATGACACAGCAAAGCAGCTGAAAGTCATGAGAGAGAGAGAACAGGGACTCTCTTTGGCAGGAAAGTCAAGAAAGGGAGGCTTCAGCCACTCTCCCATGTCAGACAGAGGCACTGCAGTTTTACAGAAGATGGAAGATTTTAGACATGTTACTAATTACTAAGATTTTCATTCTTCACCATCTCCCAGCACTGAGAAATAACAGCAAAACCTTTCTCTGAAAGCTGGTGAACAAACTGYAAATGCAGTTTATAGCTGGCCTGGTCCCTTCCAGATGCTGCTCATTCATTGTGTGACCAGGGGCAGTTTGGGCTCAGAATTTGGGGCTGAAGCCCTGTCAAGGCAGTGCCCTGCACAGCCAGGCTTCCACAGGCACTTGGCCATTGGCTCTGTGCAAATTTAAATTTTAAAACCACTCTGAAAAAAATTTAGCTTCATCATACAACCTTGGAGAGCACTTGCAATGAGATCTTTAGTATTTTGATTCCAGGTGAATTTTAAGATGGGTTTGCACATAACAGAGGAGTAGAAGGGAGTAGTTCTGTAGCAGCTTTCCAGACTAATTAATTTTTTCTATCTTCTTTTCAGTTACCATCAAATTCTTTCCAAATAATGCATATGCTCAGATCTGCTTGTTTTAAATAGACAGTCGAGCAAATTTAGCTCTTTTTAAGAATCAGAAATCTTTTGCAATCTGATCCTGAATTATGCAAGCATGTCTTTTATTTTTAAATCTTTGTTGAGTAGTCTGATGAACACTAATTAGCTGACAGGCTTTCATGAGTCAGGTGTTTGCTATTTATTTTCTACAGTGTCTCAAGGTTCACTCAAGTCTTGTAGAATTTTTTTCCCACTGTTGGATGAGAGGCTTTTTTTAAACAAAGGAATAATGAGGGGGAAAAAAAAGCAAACTCTTAGATGTGAACTCTTGACCTGAGTTATCTAAAAAGAGATTTTTCACAAGAATGGCCATGACTCAGATGTTGTTTCTGAACAAAAACCTGCTTGTGAAGCTGGAAAGGTGTGAAGATAATCAAACCAAACAGGTGCTGGAGATCAAACCGAGTGTTAGGGAGCAGCAGAATTCAATATCACAGCGTTCACCTGGCCCTGCTGATCAGRGACTCCTGGTTCCTGCCAGTTCAGACATCACAGCTCTCCATAAAAACAGCTGGATGCCACCTCAATTTGCAGTCACCCCAGAAACTGAGGCTGACAGTGCCATCAGCAGTGGGAATCAAACCTGGCTGACCCAGAAAAGCACCTGATTTGAAGACACTGATTCTTCAGGTCATTCACCCAGGCCTCGGGATGCAGCTTGAATTATTTGCTCACATTTCAAATCCTGTTGATCTTTTTTGGGTGGTGATGCCTCAGCTGAAAAAAAAAAAAAAAACACAAAAGGAAAGCAACCTGTAATAGTGATAAAATGTGATCATTATTTTGTTCAGTTCATATTTGTGTTACTCACTGAAGTTGCTCAGTGCAGAGGAGATCATTCATGCAATCTTTGGAAAGACTGGATTTTTCTTTATAAAGAACATCCTTTCTGTCTCACGTGGACCATCTTCCATCATGTGGAAGCTCTGAAGTCCAGACTTGAAGGCTCTCCTGCCCAAGGATGGTCCCAGTCAGYCTCAGGCTGCAGGGAGGTACATTTGGGAGTCAATTTTTGGCAGAATTGGTCTGTTCAGTGGAAAACAGGAGATTCCAGAGTTGTCTGTCTCAAGCCTTTCACAAATAGGACTTTCAACTTAAAATACTACTAATTGTTTAGAGCAAGGAGAATAAATACTAATAATAATAGAATAAATACCCTCATGCTAAAGCTAAGAGAAAGTCATAAGTTTAAATCAATTCTTCTCTTTTTTGTGCTGGGCAGGMCACACTCTCTTTTATACTAAATAATAACAGTGTGCTGGCTGCTAATAATGGTCTTTCCTTAACTGCATAAACAAGAAAAGAGAAAGAAATTGGTTCTGACAATTTTTAAATTATTTCTTTTAGGGAAAATAAAAAAATTTCATCAACAAAGGTGAAAGCCAACAAAGCCAACAATATGCTGCAGTATTACATGCTGACCTCTCCCAAATGTCTGTGTGATAATACAAATACAATCTGCTGCAGTTGGATCAGCTAAGCTGGTGTACTGACAAATGGGCTCTATGAAAGGAACAATTTTAAACAGATTGCTGCCTATTCATTAAAATGAGTATTACTGCTGGCACATATGTATTCTTCTTGGTTTATGTACTGGAGCCAGGAGTGATGGTTTGTATTCTGGTTCTGACTGTGTTTTTTGTCACTGCCCTGGGCAAACCTCTGTGCAATTTTGTTTTCCCACTCTCAAACGTGGAGGGATGCTCTCTGTCAGTCAGTGGAAAGCACTTTGGAGTCTGTGCATAAACCAGATCAATATCAGCTCCTTTGTATAATTATTTAAATGAAACAGGCTTGGTATAGCTGCTCTTATTTACAGGAGTAGGGAGACAACTCTCCAAAATTAGGACTCCTTTTATTATGAGTTGGTCTTAGTTCCTCACAGATACTGAAACAGAACACTGCACTTCTGTCAGACATCTCCAGCAGACAAAGAGGTGACAGTGCAGATGTTTAAGTATTCATTTCTTGCTGAAGAGCTGGCCAGTAATTGTGGCATTCACACGAAAACACTTCCTCTGTTTTCAGATYGGAGATAAATKATTRTGAGGAAGGGAACAAATTAACAGTYGTTGGTTCAACTTTTTTTTTGKCCAAGCCTGCAAAGGATTCCCTGKGCATGGGGTGAGTGAGGTGCTGTGTGCAGTCCCAAAGGTGGGGCTGTGGCARACTGGGTCTTGCTRCCAGCTGTGGGAACAAAAGAGGCAACAAATCTGGGCTCTGAAGGGGAGCTCTGGGTTTTCTGGAGCTGTCCTGAAAAGAAGATTCCCTCCCAGAGAAGAAACAGCTCAGGTAGTGGCTGGATGGCAAATGTGTTTTCCTTTCTCATCACCCCACATGCAGCTGTTAGATCTGTTCATTAGCAAGCTCAGAGTTGTTTCATGTGTATYGAATGCGGTCTCCCTTAATTGCATTTCTTTTAAACACTGGACACTCTTCTAAAAAAAAGACTGAACATTTTAGCCTTTTGAAGCTGAGAGCTGTAAAAACTTTATTTTGTGTTTCTGAGCAATGTAGATAGACCTAAAGATTTCATGAACTATCATGTGGTTGCCCATATCTGACTAATAATTAAATTGTAAAATTGCAGTTTCATATTAGGGTTAGTCTTTTCACCTGCTTTAAAAATTAAAAATCATATTTGGTATATAAACACACACAGAATATCCTTCTGATTGAATTTCAAGAGCATATCCAGGAGTAAATGTTTTTAAGCACTTCTAATACTGTAGTCTATAAGAGGAGCAGACACTTCTAAAGCAATGTTAAAAGTTGTCTTTCATAACTGAGTCAACAGATCATTTTTGTAATAAATTAAAGCAAGTGTTCTCAATTAGAAGAGCTAGTGGCTGTTGGTATTGTATAAAAAAAAAATAAAAATCATTCTAATATCCAAAGGGTAAGGGGTGGGGAGGGTCTGTTTGGTTTTGTTTCTCTTTCCAGGGAGATCTTTAACATTGTTTGATGAAGCTAGTTTCATTTTGAGATTGTTACTGAAGATAAAGGCTTCTGTGTTCTATGGCTGCTTGGATTCTTCGTACATAATGTCCTAGTAATGTCACAGTGCTGCTGTATTTAGATCAAACCACTGTTTTGATTGGGTTTTTTGGCTTTTTTTTTTTAATAAATTCCTTAATTTAAATACACCAAAACGATATGTTTTGCTTTAATGTGGCACGTAATCAAGCAGAGATCCCTCAGGTCCTTGGGATTTTGAAGATGGTTGCATTGGGAGTGGGGTTCCCATCTSTTCTTAGGTGCCTGTTTTAAATTTTCTGTCCCATCACATCTTCACAGAGGTTGAGGGGGCCAAAAACCAGCCTGACTTTGAGAATGTTGAGGTTCTCATGTGAAAACAGGCTGTGTTTCCCCTGAGAGCTCCTTCCACCCTCACCTCCCCAGCCCTGCTCAATCACCCAACTCCATTTTCACAGTCTCGGGGTAAATTCAAGGGGAGGGTGACAAAATCCCAGCAGGGACAGAGCCTTCAGGAGACATGAAATGTKCTTTTCAGTGAAGTGAGCACTGCCTGATTTACGAGGCCCTGCAGAGGACTTTGCCTGAGCTCCAGCAAGACAGAGAGAATATATTCACAGAAGGAATACAACAACCAGCCAAGGGTGCAGCTCAGTGTTCCATACAGGAAGATCTAAAATAGAGATAAAGAGTGGCTGCAAATCACCAGCAGGAAGGTGGKGATGCACTGCTTTTTCTTTAGGAGGAGAAAGAAGAATTTTTCCAAGAGGCATAAAGAATATTTTTATGAGACTGCTCATGGCAAGCAGCATCTCCATCAAGTTTCAGGAAAGAACATTGAGAAAACAGATTATCTGCACGAAAGATGCAGCTACATCCAACAGCTAAACTCAGTAAAACCTCAGTTAATAGACTATATAAATTCAGGTCATGCATATTATCACTTTCCAGACAAACCCAAGCCATTTTTTTCGCAAGGTTTTAACAATCTGAGAGGCTGTGAGATGAAATTTTATTTCTTCTCTCAACAGCTCTTGGTGTTTTGTTTTTATTCTCTTCGAAACTTCGTGTCTTTTCTGTGCAGCAACATCCAGATATGTTCCCTCTTGGGAGATTTAATCTTCCTCGACTTTTCCACTATCTCTGACATGGGATGAGCAGCTTCTCAGAGGAAAGTCATGACAATATTTTGAAGGAAATCCAATTTGAAAGGCAYGTCAACTTTTTTAATTCCTTAGGGTGCTTTACAGATGAAAAATACCATAAATGGGCCTKACTGTGCAATTTCAGGTCTATGGGGTTCTTCTGGGGGAGGAAACACTGCAAGTTTCTGCCAAGTCTGAGTCTATTTTTTTGGGTTTTGAAATTCTGTTTCACATTTGGTATTCAGTAAAAGCAAAAAAAAAAATTTAAAATAGGGCCTATTAAAAACTGAATTATCGTGAGTGGAGAAGAATAAATGCCCAGAGGCTGAGAAGTTTGAATAGCCCATTTACAGATGCTTGGGTARATCACAGAATCATAGAATAGTTAAGGTTGGAAAAGACTTCCAAGATCATCAGGTCCAACCTTTGACCAAACACCACCTTGTCCACTAAACCATAGCATKGAATCATTTCTCAAACTGTTCCAGGGATGATGACTCCACCACCCTCCCATTCCAATGCCTGAATGCTCCTCCAGTGAAGAAAATACCTGTTTTTCTGGTTTTATTTTTAATTACTGTTCCTTGCTGCTGATTTTTTTCTTAAGGGAAGTTTGTTTTCTTTCACTGTCAGGAATAGGATTAGGGTGTCAGTCACACCTTAACAGTGCAAATCTCTACTTACCTCTGTTAATTTAAATGGCAGAGATGCTCCAGACATGCCAATCTGAGGTTATTGCAGTGTCAATAAAATTATTAATCATTAAAATATCAGGAGCAAAAATGCAGGCAATTTGCCTCTTCCAGAAAACTTTGTAGATAGGAAATGACTTGCAAAAYCAAACTTCAAAAGGACCCATCCAAGTGTGCAAAGCCACATGTTTAAGGAATGAAAGAATTCAGGTTKCCTGTGTCCCATTAATAATTCCTTTCCCCTTGTGCACTGTTATTGTTATGCCCTCACATAATACCATTATTATTATTATGTTATTATTATGCATTCACTCCTAGAGGAGAAATGAACCCCTGGCAAACTCACAATGAAATCCAGATGCATCCCTTCAATGGCATCTGCTAAGATGTTACAGGTTTCAGAATTCCATTTAAATCTTAAAAAAAAAAAAAAAATCCCGCAGGGAGAATCTCACCTAATTGGCTGCTCCCTGCATTTGCAACAGGAAGGCAAATGGGAATTCTGAAAAATTCTTTTGGCCCGAGTATTTCGTGTTTTTCTCACACASAGAGGACTGAGAGCTCTCAGTATCCCATCTCAGTTCCCTTAATTTGTTCCCAGGATGGGGAAAAGGACGTGGAATGAGTCTGACATSTTTCCCTTCCCTTTTTTGGTGGGGAAACTCTTGGTTGTTTCCTGAGGGAACTGGCAGAGGGCTGTGAGAAGTTCCTTAATCTGCTTTCCCCTTTCCTCGTATCTCCATGGTCTGGAGGACACAAACACGAGCCCTGAGAGCTGAGGAGGGAGTGCAGAAGAAAAAAATGTGCAAATTGGTGTTGGGAAGAAGGAAAATGTGACCTGGGGCAAGTTTCATCAGGGCTGAAAAAACAGGAGGGACAAGGAGGGAGAAATGATGGGGAGGAGACGGCACTGGGAGGGATTAGGTTTGGCCAGGGGCATGGCTCACTTAACTCACATCAAAACAAGTCTGAAAGCAGAGAGAGAGAGGAACATCAATTCAAACCACAGCTGTAATGAGGATTTTATTGCTGACGACACCACAGGCAGTAATGGATCTTTCTGGAAGCCCCATTTTGGGTCTGATACTCACCGTGGAATTAAACACTGACATTTCCMATAGTAAAAAGATTCAGCTGCAGCTGACATTTTATACTTACATGACCATGATAAACATTAAAATACAATAAACAGTTTGAAGTTCAGATTACATTAGGAATTCACTATGTGGTTCTTGTATTTACAGTGGGAAAGAGGGAAGGAGCCTTCTTTCATACTTAATTCCATCATTCTAACTTAAAACTGTCATTTTTTTTTCCTCTTGGCCCTTGTGGTGCTTTTTGAGTCAAGGGTTTTTGAGTCTGCAAATGAAACCATAATAGCTCATCATATTTAAAAATGGATCTTATGTCTGTGTTTGCTTCTTCGTGCATCAAACTGTTGCAGTGATCCACCTGGTGATTACATGTGGCAATGATTGAAAATCAGTGATTTCTCATCGACTATTTGCAATCTGTGTCAGAAATAAGTCATAACAAGAACATAAATTAGTCGGGCTGCAGTGACACAATAAAACCAAGAGGCTTTAAACAAGCAAAATAACGAGGCAGAAAGCAACAATCTTCCTTCAGATTAACTAACACAAACTGCACAGCAGGAAACAAGCTGCTCCTCTGATGCTAATCACCTTTTCTGAAGGCAACTTCAGCATTCTAGTAACACATGCACATATTTAGAGCGCTGCTATAATCCACACCTATGGCTCAATCACGCTGATTCTTCAGAGAAAATAATCAAAAACAAATAGATGCAATGTTAATCCAGAACAATGGCAGAACAAGCACCTTTCACAGTGGAGTGACATTTATGAGCTAAAATCCGAATGGTGCTGAACAGGAATAATCCTCCCAGGCTTCTAGAACTGCACAAAAAATCAGCCACCATCTCCAGCGTCACTTCTTTTGCACAAACGCCTCTAGAGGAGCAGTGATGTGCATTGTCAGAAGGTCCAAGAAGTCCCCTGTGCTGAYCTTTAGGATGTTCTGTGTTTCCTTTGGCTCCTTGCCCTGGCTCCCTGTCTCTCTGTGCTGGCTAGCTGGGCTGCAGGGCTCCTGGCCCTGATGGTCCATCAGCAGCACGGCACCACAGCTGCTCCTGCGGGTCAGGAATGCGCTCTGGCTCTTCTCTGCAAACACCTCGGATCTCCTGCTGCTCCTCTTGCTGTCGTAGCTGCCCAGCTCCATCAGCCTCTCGTTGAAATACTCCTGCAGGAGTTTGTCCTGGAAGCCAGCAGTGCTGCTCTGGTGGCCTCTGGAGCTGCCCAGGCACTGGACCARTGAGGCTCTCCTCGGGAAATTATTGAGGTGTGGGGAGGAGCTCTTCCCTCTTTCCAGGTCCTGGAAAATCTGGTTGAAGGCTGGGTTTCCCAAATAATGTCTTGATAACTGTTTTAGGGAGAGGCGGGATTGGGGGCAGAAGGGAGAAGGAAATCTGAATTAAAATATGCTGGTTTAAATAGAAAAAGGAGCTAAGGTATGTAGTTCCATACAATAAATAACTGTTAGAGAATGTTTGAGTTTCTTAATCCAAATTCCTGAAAGACCACKAGTTTCCCTCTCAGGAGCAGAAGTCCATGGGGTTGAGGTTAATGCTAAGCATTTTTACCTCCAGCCAACTCTGAAATGCTGCCACAATTTCATGTTGCCTCTGTGAAAACCTGAATTTTTGAAATAATTTCTCACTTGTCTGTATTAACAGAACTTTGAGTTTATCCCTYTCAAACCCCATTAGCCTGTAGCTGCTGTTTCCTGAGGCAAAACTTGATCCYACTACTAAGAGATCCTTTTTTCCTCCCTTTCTTTAATCCCAGGTAGCTCTGTGTTGAACTGCACTGTGTTTTACAGGAATTGCAATTTTCACATACAATATGTTGATATATAAGATATTCTACATCCTAAAACGATGAAGATGATGATGAGATGGTCATTGTATTATTATTATTATTATTATTATTATTATTATTATTATTATTATTATTATTATTATTATTATTATTGATATACATAGTTTTTCTCCCCCTTTCCCGTTGCAGAATTCCCCTTTCCTTTCTAACCAGCCAAATTATTACTCAAGTCACTTAAATAGTCAAGAAAGTTACATAAATAGTAAAGTATTGATACCCTTGCGTGTCTTTAAGTTGATTTCAGGGTTACATGCATGCTGTGACTCCTTTAACTGAAYGTGAGAGGAAGTTTTGGTAGAAACTCACCATGTAGAAGATTGCTTTTCCACAGCTTGATGTCTCCTGGGTTTCCAAAGCCACTGCCCTGCCTTTTCCACCTTTCTCTCAGGTATTCCAAGACACCCTGGCCTGTCTCAAGCTACCAGGAGCTGGTTTCTGTACAGCAAGTTAGGCCAGAGCATGTTTTTTTCCCTGAAAACCTTAGCAGTCAGGCTTGAGAGAAGAACTGTTTTATATTACTGCTCCTAATCAATAAAAAGACAGACTACACTGTGCGTAGATGACAGCCACAGCGGGGTCGTGGAACATTTTGCAATCATTTATTATGCCTGACAATGCCTTTGGAATACAAAAAAAAAGCCATCACTCAGGCAGTTTTTGACAATCTCTAATTAAGTCTGGGTACTCGCTAAGGGTCCAGCCACAAATCTGGTTTGAGAGCCCAGCAATGTCTCAGCAGGGCACTCCATCATCAGCCTCTGGCGCGCTGCCTGCTCGTAATGAATGAAAAACATTGAGCCCAAATGAGAAATAGTGGGTTGGACATGCCGTGTAAACTGAAAAGCAATCAGGTTTTTGATCTCCCACTATTCCATCACACTTCATTCTGGAAGGGACCCAGCAAATCTGATGTYCCTGCCCGGAGTGGTTGTGCTTTTGGAATGGGTTTGGTAATTGAAGAACACTAAAACCTGACCAAAGCAGTCTTCCCAACTCAAACTTTTTAAAAATGGTTTAAAAAACAAAGTCAACCTAAAAATAATAATCAACTTTAAAACCTAGCAGAATAAAACCCTTTCAAGTCAAGTTTTTTTTATACCCAACCACAGCTCAGGCTTTATTATCATATCAAACATCACCTTTCCAGAACATAAGGGAATCATTCATCCTGCAGAAGAATAGGTAGCAGCCACCATATCCTGCCAAGAGAATTTTGGCATACAAACCTTAACATCCTGGAAGCCTGGRTACTCTGGGATGATGGGCAAGGCACCCTTGCTAACACTGTTTGACCGCTCTGCTTTCACCATCCTGCGGGAGCAGCCCCTGCAGAGGGGGAATGGCCCCAGCTGGGCTGGGTTTGCTGAAACACCCAGGGGTTTGCAGTGTTTGATGTAGCAAGTCCTCAGGCACAGCGTCGAGGCGGGTCCTTCCATCCCGGCGGGATGCAGAGGAGTTTGGGAGCAGTGCTCCCAAATTCCAGAAGAATTCTCTCTCCCGGTTTTCCTCTAAC